TGACTGATTTTGAATGTTTGTTGTGGTTTGAAATACACTTAGACTGATTACTAAACCTTTACCAGTGGGATTTCTAGTAGAGCATTAATGTTTTTGACCTAGTTAACTGTTTATCCTCAGGCATCAGAGGACAAAAGTGGAGTCAAATCCCACTGGTAAAGGTACAGTAATTAGTCCAACTAAGTTATCACAGTAGCTAGTATATTATCTTTGATATACTTGTGTTTTCTTTGTGAACACCATTAGTTCTTTTGTATACTTTCTTTAGTTCATTTTAAGTTATTTCACTACTTATATTTTTTATTTCAGTAAATTTAACAAACTAATGAACTTGAAAGAACTCTTCTATCTTTTGTATGTGATAATATAAATTAATAACAATTCTATGATGAATAATATATATAAATATTACCACATTGAGATATGAAATTTACTTCATAATAATCATTAGTATTTGTTACAATACTTTCATTTTAGTAATTTAAAATATAATTACAGTAAAACCTGTCTATGGCGACCATCCACGGTTCCTTCAAAAAGTGGTCTTTTAGACAGGTGGTCGTCCAATACATGTGGTGCTGTAATACGTATTTCCATACGTATTTTTAGCCACTTTTTAGCCATTTCTACTAAGCAAAACTCGAGGTGAGCAAAAATAAGCGAATTTTTTCAACGATAGGGCTATATTAGTATAGTACTGTATTTTATTCTTATCGGATAACCCGATTTACAGGAGTCGTCATGATATTATAAGACAGATTTAACACCAATATTTTAAAGATTAATACAATACTCGCATTTTCTCGACTATAATGCACACTTTCTTTTTTTCCGACTTAATTAATTCGACTCGGTTCTTTTCGTTCGCTCCTCAGTTAAGTGTATTACGTCATCAATATACAAGCGCGTCCTATCTCTCCATCACTTTGGTTTTCGTTAGTTTAATCTTATTTTAACTTTAAAAATACTGTATTTTTTTAATATTTAATATTTTCTTAATTAATTAAGTACAATAAGAAAAACTATTAGTTATTGTTTTTTGAACATTTTGCCTGCGAAAATTACTTGGATATTATTTTTCTAAAAATATCGTGGAAATAAGGTAGGTTGATACAGAAACTATTTATCGCACGTGTACTGTATATGAGCTTCAAAATAAATAAATAAAAATAGATTTTATCAAACGATGAGATCAGCCGATTAATTGTATCGTGTACAATATTTTACACTCCCAAGGAAAATACTGTAGGTCTAGGGTAAAATAAATTTTGTTTTCCCACAATTAAACTTCGCCGCTAATTGCTGTTGTGATAACTTTAATACGATCTTCTAACGACAGCACTTTGCATTTCGGACGTTTTCCAACAAACTGAAATGAATTTCCTTTGTTGCTAGACTAATTTATTAACACCTGCACCTAATTTCAAGGGTGGAAGCAGTGCCCGAGATGGGTTCGAACGAGAGTTTAGACTAATTCATTATATTAGGAGGTGGAAACGTTGTTGAGATGGGTTCTTACAATAGTTTAGACCAGATACATTCGCGAAAGTGGTCGCTTATTACAGGTGTTGTATGTTGTTTCGGACCAAAAATTGATGCCCGAGGTCGCGTTACACAGGTGGTCGTTTAATACAGATAACTTAAACGAAGACTCTATGGATAAACTAATCCGTGCCAGAAATTTTTGCCCGTTTTGACAGGTGCCCGTCGAATGCAGGTGGTCGCCTAAGCAGTTTTCACTGTATATATGTGTATAAAATAATTGTACAATAGTATGATTATAAATCTTTGTCTTATAATTAGTTAAGCATTCATTCAAATTACTTTATATAATAATGAATTTATGATTGCTGTTGTCCAATTGGTGAAGTAGATGATAAATAACCAATCAATGATGTGAATGCTAATATAACATGCATTTATCATTTAGAACTAACAGTATTACTTTTTAAAATTACATTTTAATTTTATATTTTTGTACATAACTTGTGATGATGCATAACCCACCCCATTGTATACCCTGTGTTATTGGTGCAGTTATTGTTCTGTAAATATGACTTTACAATTGTAATCTAAATTTCTGTATATTTGTGCATTCTTTTCAAATTGTCTTCTAAACATAGATATCCTATGAGTTTACACACAAGAATGCAATATTTATTTATTCTGTATTCTATATGAAATTAATATTTGTTATAAAAATAATCTTTTAGAGAGTTGCAAACATTTCAACTTTCAAGATTTTGAAACAAATTATAAAAATATAGATACAGTATATATTATTAGTTTTGCATTATATGTTTCTGGAATAGATTAACATCATAAAGTAAGAATTTGCTGTATAATAGTTATGCAAGTATTGAAAAATATTGCAAGCAAAAGTTTTGATTTATGAAGAAAGTTAATCTTGTTACAAATTTAACTTAGGTAAAGTTTAAGATATTAAAATTGACATTTTATTTATTTTAACTTTGTGACATTTTTATTTTAATGTCAGTTGTATATTGTAAATGCAACTTAAGACTAGTTTGTAGCATACTAGTTTTTCAACTACTACTGTAATTATGAAATCAAGTTTCTTGGAAAGTAATAGAGATGTAAATTTTAATATTTTTTGGTAATAATGTTTTTAGAATTTATTAAAAATTAGGTTAATTCCACAATTTTTAATGACTTACTTTATTATGATATACTCTGTGAAGAATGTTCAGAAAGTCTAAATAATTAACTGATAATCAATAAAATCGGTTAATTAATTAATTAGTTAAATAATCACTGAAGCTAACATCCCCTATATTACTGATCATATCTGTTCTCTTAACTTCACAGTTTGACTTTAAACAGTATAATGTTTTGTTTAAATATAGGATTTACAGTTAGAAGAAAATATATTTCATCAAAAAGTTTGACGTGATTGTAGCAAATGACAATGAAAACCACATCAATTAATAGTTGGATTCATTTCACTTCAAACATTCTTGGTCTACTTCATACACTGTCTTAATGATTCTTTGTTTTTCAGAAAAAAAATTCAAAATAGCCGATGTAAAATGTTTGAAATTGAAATTGAATGTACAAAATAATTTGAAAAATTCTTTTTAAAATTATTCAAATTTGTTCTTCTGAAAATAACAAATCCTGAAGATGGTCTGTTATAGATCAAAAATATTTGAAACCAAATTAATTCTACTATTGGTATAATTTTCATTGTTATTGTTACAACTGAATGTATATCTTTTCATTTCAGTATATAGACTAATTACAATAGTTTCAATATACAGGATGTTTTAGATAAGGTGTTAAGAGTCAATAACTTGAAAAATAAGCTTCTAATTAAAAAACAATGATAAAGGTAAATTTAATATTTCCAAGGTTATTTTTAATGCTGTAAACATAAAACCTGTCTTATTCCTCCTTCAGGATGAAGTGGAAGACATCATTGAAATTTCAAGTGGAATCTCCTAGTTTTTTATATTTTCTGATTCTCCATTAAAAAATGATACTTTAATTCAGACTATTTCTTCAAAACAGGGATAATTTTAAAAGTTATGAGCATATGTGGATTGGTATGTTTTGAAAGATAATGGTGTAATAAAAAATAATGTTTTTCATGCACTATGGTAATTCATTTCTATTGTTTTATTTTTCAGTAATCAAATAACAAAGTTTTGCCAAATGGATTGCAACATTTCTGGTGTTTTAGTACATGAATTGCTTATTCTTTGCTTTAAACCTTAAATCGTGATGATGCTTTAAATCTTGAATCGGTATCTTGTTGAAATAAAATTTGATACTTTATAAAACTCCATAGGAATTAATCAATTGGTGTCAAATCTTATGAACCAGATAGCTGTCAAATTGATCCTCTACAACCAATCCATTGTTCTTTAAATATGTCATTTAAATTCACTTTAAATATTAATTAAAAAATGAGAAATGCTTTTGAATCACATCAAAAATTGATTAAAAATTAACCATTAATAAGTTTGAAATCCGTTTCAACTAATTAGTTCATGTGAATTTTTATGAGTGTATACTTGTACAATGTATTGATACATTGTACAAGTATACACTCATAACTTTTGAAATTATTATTATTATTATTATTATTTTTAATGTTCTCAATAAAAGTTTATTTTTTAATGAAAATTCAAAAATATAAAAAAAATTGGAGGGTTTTTTTGAAGTTTTGGAATACTCCCACCCCACTCTGAAGGGAGTGGAAGAGGCTATTTTTAGGACATTACAAAGGTCCCTTGCAAATATTCAGTTTTTATTCTCATCAATTTTTTTTTATTTTCGAATTTTTTGTGAATTAGTAACTTGTAGCACCTTATAAGAAAAATCCTGTACATGATTACCTTTCTTTAGACCTCGTTGCTCTTGTAAAGATTTGAATGAGCATAAGTTTACAGCTGAGCTAGAATATTAGAATATTTGATTGAGACAAATAAGAGTACTTTAAAATTATATTTTATCATCATATTTTATCATTTACTGCTGTCAAATGGTATTGAGCATATGACAGCAATATAAGTTGTATAATAAAGAAAGAAATGCCTTCTTAAGCAGAGGTGTAATTTTTGATCAAGAAGCATCCATTTAAGAATGAAATGTGTATAAAAAGAAATTAATTATGTAATCTGTTATATCTGTAGAGATTAATAAATCAATTAAATGTATCTTTTTCTAATTCTTTCTTTTAATATCTGAGCATGCTGAAGAACTTTTACTTATTTTTATAGGAAGATTACATTCTAATTTATATGACTATTTATAATAAATATTGAAAACTTTTTGATTATCATATTTTTGTTCATTGTATAGTAAGGTTTCTATGAATTTTTTTTTTTTTGCATTGAATTTGAATGTATTGATTTATAATTTGATTAAAATTATTTTTTGTGTGTGTGTGTGTGCGTGTGTATAACATTTGTAGGTATGTTTTAAAATCAGTAATTACAGATATATATTACTTAAATCTAATAAATTCATTTCAGAGAAGTTTAAGATTTATAAGCCACAACATTTGTCTGCTGCATTTCCCAAACTTATCAAAATGGCAAATGCTGAAAAGTTGGCATCTAGTTTCCTTCAGGTATATAAGATTAAAATGTATATCTTAATTTAAAATTAGTGCTAACAACCTCTGTAATTTTTTTATATATTTCTAGTATATATATTTAGATAAGTTTAAAAATAGAATTATTAATATTAAATTCATATTTTATTTGTACTTTTAACCACTAAATTATTAACTTATAGTATTAACGTTCTATTATTTACATTATTATTTTATTAATAAGATCTTTTTATGTATGATTAAAGGTGAATTTAGGCATTTTGCAAATTTTTGGTTAATTTTTATTTTCTATTCTATTTTCGATAACAGAGTGAATGATGCATTTGCATCTAACATTAAGGCTTAAAACAGAGAAGAAACATACAGAATAACTATTCGTAAATTATCGTGGTTCTAAGAATAGTTTTTTTTTTATAAAATTTAACAAAATCAGAATCCAATTTATTGTTTATATATTCTTCTTTGTAGTAAAATAGGTATTATTAAAATATGTCAACATGTTTTATATTTCCTGTCTGAAATGCAAAAACTTGCCAATTATGGCTCTTTACGTCAGGGGTTGCCAAAGTGGTCAATATCGACCCCCAGGGGTCGATATAACATTATTGGGGGGGGGTCGATTATCAAGCTTATCCATCTCACTAATTGTCAGTTACAAAAATTATTATTAACAAATATATAATAAATGAAAAAAAATGCAAAATTAAAAGAAATGTATTAAAATAGTAAGTACTGTACTTGGGTTTGCTTGTAACACAATGTTTTTGTGGAGGTCGATGTGAGGTTTCAAAAACTTGTAGGGAGTCGGCAATCAAAGACGTTTGGTGACCCTTGCTTTACATATTACGCATTAAATTTCTGCCAGTTTTGAAATTAAATGTTAATTACAGTGGAACCCCGGTTAACGAACGTAATCCGTTCCACGAGTCCGTTCGTAAACCAAAGCAATTTTTCCCATAGAAATTAATGCAAATACAATTAATTCGTTCTAGCCGTCAGTATTTTTGTAATTTTATTTGTAAAATGGGTTTTCTTTAATGAAAATATCGGAAAACGTGCTCATAAACAGTCGATCTAGGTTAAATTTTCGGAAAAGGGAAAAGATTTGACGGGTATAAAAACATCACATACGATCATTAAAGTTCTAAAATGACAGATAGCAGAAACAATAGGCTAAATTATGAGCGAAAGGCTTATAGGTTTATCAACAATCTCTGATCAGAATTGACGAACAGGTGTCAAATAAACGCCTCGGAACAAATCTTTCTCGTGACCTGATCTGGTTTCAGTTTTCACCTGGAGACAAAGAAGAAAACAATCGGGAAGTGACGAATGGGGCGCAGGACTAATCGTAAGGTGAGATTCAAAGAAGAAATACTATAAAAACCCCAAATCTCAAGGTCAAAACACAGTTTTCCTAAAAATTCTATGGCGATTAATCTGTGTCATCTTCATCTGGATTAAGCCTGAAGTCGTGCCTGCTAAAATTTGTGTTGTGTCTCGCGGACTGCTCCAGTTGTTGCAGCTCTGTCACCTACCATTGCTTCTGTGACCAAGCGAACCCATCTCGTCCGCTCTGGGGCTACGACTGATCAGCTTGCACTATCGTAGGACCAGTGATACACCACTCCTCAGTGCCAAGAGAAAATACTGTAGATAAGCCATTTCCAACTACCTCAAATATGTAAGCATCTTCCCATTCTAATAAACGATTTTCACTGTAAAATACTTGTCATCTTTGTCTCCTCCACCACCACCAACATACGAATGGACCCTAGACCATCACCGACACACGATTAACTGATTTTCCCTAAAAGTCAGCAAGCTTACAAATTTGACACAAAAAGCCGTTAAGTTTGTTATCCGAATTTTGTTCATTATCCGAGACAAAATTTTTCCAAAATAAAAGTTCGTTAACCGATTTGGTCGTTAACCAGGATGTTCGTTAACCGGGGGTTCCACTGTATAAGTTTTTATTTTATACTTATTGTTAATATTAAAAAAAATATATATATTGCTAGAATTTATCTTAAACCTTAACATACACATCTTTATCTCAACACCGGAGAATACTAACAAAAACTCTTCCTAACCTGTTACCGGTGCGTTCTCTTTATTCTAAAACTCGTAGCCAACCAAAAATAGCTCTTTACTAACATTTTTAAACCCCAACAACGGTTCTTCTTCAGGTATTTTGAATCTCTGATGGAAACACAGCTTGTAAAATTTCAAATTCAAAAATATGTATGTTTGAATACATGCTTCCTCTTTAAGTCATTGTTTGTCATGCACAGTTGATTCCAATATGGCTATCATAAATTACTGTTCATAAGCGCTTGCCAGGCTACTGATAGCATAATCTCTTCTTTATGATTGATGCATTGATTATCCCTAAGGTTAGCTAAATATATGCTGGCTGTCTCCAGCCACTTGATATGTTGTATGTTCCGTGTGGTGCGGATAATTCTGGCTTTCTTAAATTCGGGGTCTATATTTGAATCCGACACATAAATTGCCCGAGCCGTTGTATTCCTTTGTTTCTGAATATCCACAGAATGTTCAAACATACATATTTTCGAATTTGAAGTTTTACAAGCTGCATTTCCATCAGAGATTCGAAATACCTGAAGAAGAACCGTCGTTGGGGTTCAAAAACGTTAGTAAAGAGCTATTTTTGGTTGGTTACGAGTTTTAGAAGAAGGAGAACACACTGGTAACAGGTTGTTAGGAAGAGTTTTTGTTAAACCTTAACATAATTGTATTGTTGATTAACGTAATTCTGATGATAATTTTAACAGTTATTTAAAAGAATCAATGCAAATTTTATGTTCAATAATTCTCAATATGTATTTTCTATATAACAAATATTGCATCAATGATTATTTGAATGAACAAAGGATAAAAATGTTTATATTATTCACACAAACTAAAAGTATACAGAAGTGTTATATATGAATGCAGGAGTGATGCAATGATTAATGACAGGCTTATATAACCTAATATATACTTAGTTGGTATAACTTTTCTTTTATTAATTGGTAATTTATTTTTAAAATTTCGCTGGATGTAAAAATTTTTCAATAAATAAAAAGACAGTCAATTCCAAAAAATTTTCGTTAAAACTTTGGTCGATCACCTTTTATTTCCGTTNAGGTGATCGACCAAAGTTTTAACGAAAATTTTTTGGAATTGACTGTCTTTTTATTTATTGGTAATTTATTTATTAATATTTATTGAATTGACAATAAAGAGCTGTATCCATATCTAAATAACTAAACTATTTAAAATAAATTCTGTGAATATGATGAAATATGGTCTTCTCAATTCTTAATAGATGATTATTGGGCTGCAATTTGAAAAAATTGTAGACCTATAATTTCCCACTGTTGTCTGTTTGTCTTTCCTTAATCTCGAGAACAGAGTTAAATAGACGAAAGACAAGACCAGATATGTAAAGCTTAGGGGCAGGTAGCCTCAACTAACTATATATGAACCTTCAATGCAAACTGGAAGTCATGTTATTTCAATTCAAAAATTCCCCCCTGAAAGGTGTTAAGTAGTTGACCAGTACAACTTTTTTGGTAAAGGAAAAGTATGATATACAGGGGTAAGTCACTACTAATTTTAGATGGAGAGCATATATTTTAAATTAAATAAATTAAAAATGTGATTAAAAGTTGCAGCCTGGTATTATGACAATGTGACAATAAATAATTGCTCATTTTTATTAAATTATTCTATTTAATTGAATCATTACAAGTATTATTACAGATCATAAATATCAATTATTAAATAATCAAATATATTCTTAATTTTAACAAATGACTAACAGTAGGGAAATATTTGGTATGCATTTTATTATCCAATTATTATCTTAAATTGCTATCAGGGAGATAAAATAATATAAACTTGATTAGGTTGACATTTTCACATTACTTCCTTCAGATTATTCAGCAAAATTTCCAGAAAGTCAATAAATATTCAGATGTTACAAATTTATGAGAGTAAGAATAATTAAGTTAGCAATTTTAATTGTACAATTAATGTCAAATATAATTAAAATTTTGCTTTATGAAAAATATCAGATATAGCTGCAATTCAAATATATACATATATTTTCTGACTGCAACATAAAACTTAAGATATATATAGAAATTCTTATCTTTGAATACTTTTTCTTTTAAATTGCTTTGTGGGTTTTATCAGAAAATAAAATTCTATAAATTATAATCTGATTAATGTTCTTATTTGTGATTTAAATTTGTTAATCTTCTTTCATTATCAAATTTATTTATACATTCTGAGAATCTAAAAAAATGTGTATTATTTTTAAAATTTAAAAAAAGACTATTGTTAAAAATATTGCAGTCTGGAATAATTTTAAAAAGTACAATTAACAAGATTTTATTGGAAATTTTTTTTCTTGGCCATATTTATTTACTATAAACATGCACCTGACTTTTTAAAATTAAATTGTAAATAATGATTTATCATCAAACTAAATAACAAAGGTAAATTAATATATTCTTTATTTTTCAGAGTATTAATATAATTATATTGTATATATTTACCCCCTGTAACAAGGCTTAGCCTTAATGCAAATAAATAATTTTTTCATATTGTATATATGTGTGTCCACAGAAAACTTTCCAAGCTTGGAAACAAATAATTACATCAACAAATTTTTTATATAATTATTTAATTTTTGAGGGGGTTTATTCCACAAGTATATAAAATACGGTATTGCATAAAAGCATCCCCTTGTTGAGGATGTAAGATTACATATCTAAACCACTTTTATGATTATAATTTGTGGAATTTTTGCTCAGTCCTAGGAAGCAAGTGCCCCATTTACTCCCCTTTGTGGATGCCAATGGGGATATATATGTATATGTGTGTGTATGTATATATACATATATACATATACATATATATATATATATATATATAATGATATATAATATATACACATATACATATACATATAATGATATATATATATATCATTATTATTATATTATACATTATATATTTCAAGTTTTTAAAATTGATCTTTGCCATTCTGCTATTATAGATTTAACAATATTTAAATTTTGAATGTGTTATTGTCTGACTGAAACAAGTTTAAAAAAAAGTATATTACTCCAGGTTTTGGAACTGTCTACAAAAAAGATGTTCATAAGTTAGATATAATTTACAAACAAGAAAAAGCAGTTGCCAAAATCTTGAATAGTATATTAGGACATTTTTAGAAAATACCTGAAATCATTTTATGTTTTAATTTAAAAAGATAAATATATCAATAAATATTATTTATTGTGACATCGTCATAATGCGAGACTGCAATTTTTAATCATATTTTTAATTTATTTAATTTAAAATATATGCTCTCCACCTTAAATAATAGCATCTTGCCCCTGTATATCATACTTTTCCTTTACCAATAGAGTCATGCCGGTCATCTGTCTAGCTTCTTTCAGGGGAAATTTTTGAATTGAAATAGCACAACTTTGGTTTGCATCAGAAGTTCATATATATAGTTCATTGGGGCTTCCTGCCCCTAATCTTTCCATATCTGCTCTTGAATTTCATTTATCTAACTCTGTTTTCGAGATTAAGGAAAGATAGATGGACAACAGTGGGAATTTATAGGTCTACAATTTTTTCAAATTTCAGCCCAATAAACAACCTATATGTACTGTACAATTTATAATCTATTATATAATTCTTATTTGTATAGTTTATAAATTTGAATAAATTTCTTGTAATATTTTATTAGTATTTATTAATAATTTTCAAAAACAGTAAAAAGAGTTTATTAAAATATACTGTTTTTACTGCAATGTCAATTGTTAAAAAAATTTTTAATAACAAAATAATTATTTCTAGTTGCAACCTCATCTTAGGATATCGGCCACTCAAGCATTACATCATAAATATTTCTCTGACCTTCCCTCTAAAGTATATGATTTACCTGATCGTAAGTCTTTTAGTAAACCTGCATTTATAATTAATATAATAATAATAATAATAATATTGTTATTCAAATAATGTTTCATTTTTGTATTTTATTAGAAGCATCTGTGTTTAATGTTCCCAGTTGCAAACTTAGTCCAGAGACTCACAATCATCCACTGTCTGTGATTGAAGCAGCAGCTAAATTGCAACGCTAGTATCCATGATAACTGTGATAGGTAATAATCAATGATTTTAATTGTAGAAATGATAAAAAACTTAAAATTTTGATATATTTGTGGAAAAATAATTTCATACAATAATCTTGCAAAAATTAAATTGGCTTAAAGATTTTTATTTTTTTATTTAAAATTTTCATCCTTTATAGTTAGATGATACATTTGTCTGAAGATCTGTTAGCAGATAAATCTACTGAAAAAGAGAATACCATATATCTACGTCTTTCAGAACAAAATTCTGTTGATTAAAATTTCCTATTGCAAATTAACAGTAGGAAATTTGCTGTAATTGATGTGGATGATAAAGGTGTAGAATGTACATTTAATCTAATTTTGACTCAATATATTCAGTAGAAGTTAAACAGGCAGTTATATGAATGTGTTATTGTTTTTGTTATATGAGGTTTGTAATGGTGCTTAAGAGCACCATTACAAACCTCATATAACAAAATAACAAAAGAAAACTTCAGGAAGAAAGAGGTAATGTAGAAAACCCCTTTCTTTCTGAAGTTTTCTTTTGTTATTTTGTTCTTAGAATTAGATAGAAGTGTCCAGTTTTCAATGTATGCCACAACCCTTTTCTTGTTCTCTGGTTTCAACACCCTCATTCCTGTCTTTATATATCTGTTGTTGTAAGAGAGGGAGTGTCATTCATGTCTGAATGGTTTATCTCTCTCTTCATTAGCCAGCTATAGATCTAATTCAAGTACTGACTATGTCATTATTCTTGAAGGAAATCATTGTGTTTGCCATCTTTGTCACTTCCATTATTTAGCTAAGTAGAATATAATACAAATAGTGCTGACTTGTTCATATCATTAAGCAGTTGTCACATTGACCAGTTTTAAGTAGAAAGCTATGTTGATTGTATCAGTTTTTTGAATCATCCTGTTGTCTGTCTATTTTTATTTGCATCAACATCAGTATATTTTTTAAATTCCATGTTTTTCCCAATCAGATTATCTCCCATCATGATCTTATTTAATATTAAAATTAACCTGTTTTATTGTTACTTCCATTATTGATGTATTAGTTTTGACAGCATGAATGAATTTAAAAACCAATTTACATTTTATTTAGTAATTATTGTATAAAGGTGGTCTGTCACTTCTATGATATGAACTTTTGATTAAATTAGTTACATCTAACATAGATGTTATTCTATAGCACATCTGCTTGCAGGAATCTTGAATTGTTTGCTGATTTATTAAATCGCAAAGTGGTATCGTTGTAATCAATGAATCATTGTAGTGAAGCAATCAACATAGGCAGGAGATGGGTACAATTAGTTTTTAGAATTTTTATATTAAAATATCTTTTTGTAAAGCTGTTTTCTATAATCAGATGTACAGTACAGAATTTAATTTTGTTGACAACTAGTTAAATTTTTTATGTATATGTTAAATATGCATGCATAAACTTAAAAATAAAATGCTGTTCATTGCATATTCAAGTAGTTCAATAGGAGGTAAAATGTACCACTTGGTGAGCACTTTGAGTAAAGGTCAAAGGACTCAAAGCATGCCAGTACTTTGCAGGAATCCATATGATTGATCATTTGGATATTTGGCTTTAAAATAATCAATAACTTCTTACAATTTTAAATAAGATAAAACCCAACTTTTAAATTAAATTTTTTTTTTTAACTTTACATTTATTTAATTTATTTTTATCTTTTTCAGGTAAGAAGATATAAAATACCAAACATCTTGTTTGTTTATTTTTCTCATCATTTTCAATCTCATGCAAAATGAACTGATTTCGTGTCAGTGATTTTCGGCGATCGAACTTTATACGACCGAAAAAATCGTATGTCGTTATTTATAATTCATCAGTCTGCCAAAACAAGAAAGAATCTCATTCCAAATCGAAAATAACTTAGAGTTATAAAAAAAATTTTATATATTGTCTATGAAAATTGCTTTAATAATGTGTGCATGAATATTTAAAAATTCCATTTATTTATAATGCACTTCTGTCTATCACATTTTTGTACATTGTGCAGTATTATATGGATCTCATGATCACTTTTTCAAAACATTTCACCGGTATGGGCTTACTTCGACTCCATACAACTCGAACAAATCACACAAGTTAAAAAATTAGTCCATTCTTTATAAAGTTTAGAGTTCCTACGTCCTATTGCAAACCCATCTTTTCCAAACTTTTCTTGAAATTCAATGCAACATTAATTACATTTTTAATGATCCAAAAAACAAATACATATATACATATATAGAACAATAAATTTATAAGATATTTATGAAAATAATTCCAATAAATAAAACCAATTTTTTCATTCATAAAAGGAAACTTTTCAATTGGAATTATTTACAAAATTTTTTTGTTTTTTTAAAATGGGTATTTTATATAAAATGGCCAAATATTAAGAATTTATTGAAATTAGTAAAATATTTTTAAAATGTATAAGAAAAAGCTGATTATGTAGATCTAAGGTTAGTATTTGTAAAAGAAAAATACTGCAGCTTTGCCAATTCATGAAAATCTTCCCATCCATTAACTCTTTTTATGGTGACTATTGTAATCATTGGTACAAAATGATCAACAACCGTCTGATATTGGTATCTTCCCAATTCTTGTGCCATTTTAGCGTATCTACGAAAAGTGTACAAAACTTTTTCAGATCTGTTATCGCTCCCTTGACTTTTTAAAAATCCTACGAACATTCCGTAAATAATGATTGATATATATACATTTTTTTATGATTAGAGTATAACGATTGTATCTATTCAAAGTGGTTGCAATGTACATATTTATAAAATTATTTAATTTCTTTATTATTTTATTGTTTATATATTACATATATGTGTATACAGAAGAGTAATCTGCGTACCATTAGCATAGTTACTACCCGAACACGCAAACCCGGCTTAATACTTATTATCCCGTTCCGAGATTTATTCGGTCCCTACCTCTCGTGGGTTCTTTTTAACTGCAGAAGAAGAAAAATATTTACACCAAAGTTTAAGGGTAAGGACGAAAAGATCTCTGTCTTTTAGAAGTGACCGTTTTTTATTTTTTGAGACCATTTTTTATTTCGTTACCGGTTTGAACCGAGGAAACATTTTTATTTTTTAAGAAACTTGGGGCCAACGTTAAGGTAGTATGTAAAAATATTTTCTTTGTTGTTTTTTACTTGGGTGAATTTCGAAAAGTTGCTTCTTCCAGTTTTAGAAGTGGCAAAATATTCATTATTTATAATGTGTTGTAAATAACTGCTTATGTAAAGAAGGAAAAAAAAAACAAAAATTTGTAGTTATTATTTTATAAAGTATATATATAAATATATATGTATATATATTATATATATCTACACATACACACACAAAAAACACACACATACACAGACATTATTTACAGCATTTACATACAAACTCTTCATGATTTGAAAGAGATAGTGTGATTTTTATTGACACTATTGATCATTTTTACTTCATGTATTGTGAATCATATTATATATATAAATATATATACATAAATATAAAAAAAAATAATGGAACTTGTTAAAATTATCAATAATTATTATAAAGAAGGAAAGAGAAAAAAACAGTGTTTTTAAGAATGTTTCTAAATAACATTCTAACTATATTGATGCATTAATTCTCAAATTAATAATTATTGATTAAAAACTTCCAATAAAACTGTTGATTTATTAAAAAAAACTCTTTGTTTGTTTCTTTAAAAAAATAAATAAATAAATAATAAATGGATCAGGTGATGACTTTTTAAAAATTCTTGACGACTTTATTTAGAATTAAAAGTTAGTTTGAAACACTTTAATTGTATTTATTATAACAAAGTGAGTAATGGTAATGGAATTTTGTCGTAACTGCTAAGGAAAATGCATCATCCATCTCATCTAAACCATTCTTAAAATGTCCTGGTGGCACGCAATTCCCATTATTTAAAAAGGTTTTGTTTAGTTTTCGTTGGAAGAATAATTGTCTATAATTATCAGAGCTTACAAATGGGCATAAAACAAAACAAAAATTACACAGTTTCGTCGTTTTCCATTTCGTTAATTAGCTTAAACATACCTATATCACTTTTATGATAGTGAATATAACATTATGAAATTTCACCAATGAGTTAATTAAAGTTAATAATTTATGCAAGATTTTTGACGTCTGCCAGGCTATTTTTAAATTGATTTCTTACGTATAGATTCTTACAATATCGCGTAGTATACTGTTAATTAGGTTTACGCACGTGTTCGATACAGTATAATTTCGTTTCGGTTAGACTGGAAACACGAATACCTAAATTAAAGTAGGTCATAATGCCTAAAAAACCCGACTTAATGTAATTTTCACTAAAGTAACTTAATAAAACATTATAATTATTGTTAAATATATAAATTCCAGTTTCTGTTACGTAAAAACTAACGTAAACAGGTTATCACGAGTATATAACACGACTTTCACTTGATTTATAACTTAGATATTTTAATTTTGATTAGAAAAAAAAATACTTTATATTGTTAATATAAAATTCAATTTAAGTTTATTTTAAGTTTTATATAATAAAAATTCTCGGTACTTCTAGAGAAGTTTTTATGTGCAAGCATTTGTAAGTAAAGAGTGGTGCGAAACGTGATAGGGTTTTCATTCGGATTAATTTCGATAAAAAGCAATTGGTACCAATAAAATTTGGAATTAATGTTAGAAAGGAACCACTTCAATCGAAGGAAATCATCAAATCGGTCATTGTGGAAATTGGAATTGAAATTGATGAGAAACACCCCCCGCTCCGACTGTAATTTACTGGAGGGTGATCAACTTTGACGATCGATAAAGTCTCGTTTTACTAATATCGACATTAGTTAAAAAGTGCCAAAAATGTCTTCAATCGAAAGTAAATTGTGGTGCCAAATGTATCCCTTTCTAAAATTAAATTTAATCGTTTTTTTTTTTAATCTCAATAATGTCGTAACCTTGACAAATTTTAAATTGAAAACAAATGTCTCGGATTTTATTTTTTCCAATATTTTAGGAACAGACAGAGTTCTCAGAAGCGTTAATCTTATTTTGTCTGTCTAAATATAGATAAGATAAACTTGTCTAAAATGGATGTTGAGATGCTAATTATATATCTTTAATATAATTTGATACACTCAATGGCACGTTATACTACAGACAAAAAAGGGCCCTCAAATAAGTATTTTCCTCAATAATAATAATAGTATTAATCTGTCTTTTAAATGTTTTATTAACTACACCTGTCTCGAAAGTGTTTTTGATCATTATCAAAGTAGTGTTTAGAAAAATGGAATGGGGCCTCTATGATTTGTTCTGAATCTGAGGCCCTAAGCAAGACACCGCTGCACTTAACGAATCATGCTTGGTATAAAAATTTTATGTTTAGTTATAAACATTTGTTTTTAAGTGTTTTATATAATTTTTATACAAATAAAACTTCATATATTTCGTATGGTTCTATTATTTCCAATAGGAGATGATAACACTCGATACCGTCTTTACACGTGAACGTAGATGTATATGCAGTTTCTATGACGATATAAGCCGTCATTTTTCTTATAAAAAATATTGTGTATATATTGAGAAACGTTGTTTTTTGCGAAGAAATCGATGTGGAAATTTCGACACATTTCGTAATACAGTTTGGAGTCGTGTTAGGATGATGTCTGTGTCTGTGACAATTTAATGTATCTGCCATAACTCAAAAATTGGTTTAACTTAGAAAAACAATTTCCGTGTCAAAATTTATTACAATCACGTGATGACACTTCATTTTTCACTTACACTCGAGCATAATATAGTTATTTTTCTTTTGTTTCGACTGAGAACATTCGTATTGTAGGCATGCTTAACATTGTCTTTTTTAACCTGCATCCCTTTATATGCTGATATGTGAAGATAATTGTTATTTTCAGTAAACAAGCTCTTGGTATTAAAGAAGAATACGTTTATGAAGATGGTTAACAAAGACATAGAGTTTGGTTTGATTCTCCATTGGGAGAATCAAACCAATGTCTTTTAAATATTCGGTGTGCTATCGGAGCTTGGTTCGGATCTTATTTTGAGAAAGATATTTAAAATTATACAGCTTGTATATGTGGATTTAGATTTTCGTCACGTAGGGCCTGAGAGAGATGAACCAGAGTTAGTCACAAATATGGAGTCTCGCTCCTTAGAAAACCATAAATATGTTGTCATTCTTAAACCCAAAAACATTTTTTTTTATTTTTTTAGTACGAGTGAAATATCTTTTGACAAGTTTTTTACGTAAAAGATTAAATTTTGGGGCCTTTCCGTATCCTCGCCCTGTTGGATCTCCATTGGCCTGCTTCTATATACAATATACTGTNATAAATAAATAAATAATAAATGGATCAGGTGATGACTTTTTAAAAATTCTTGACGACTTTATTTAGAATTAAAAGTTAGTTTGAAACACTTTAATTGTATTTATTATAACAAAGTGAGTAATGGTAATGGAATTTTGTCGTAACTGCTAAGGAAAATGCATCATCCATCTCATCTAAACCATTCTTAAAATGTCCTGGTGGCACGCAATTCCCATTATTTAAAAAGGTTTTGTTTAGTTTTCGTTGGAAGAATAATTGTCTATAATTATCAGAGCTTACAAATGGGCATAAAACAAAACAAAAATTACACAGTTTCGTCGTTTTCCATTTCGTTAATTAGCTTAAACATACCTATATCACTTTTATGATAGTGAATATAACATTATGAAATTTCACCAATGAGTTAATTAAAGTTAATAATTTATGCAAGATTTTTGACGTCTGCCAGGCTATTTTTAAATTGATTTCTTACGTATAGATTCTTACAATATCGCGTAGTATACTGTTAATTAGGTTTACGCACGTGTTCGATACAGTATAATTTCGTTTCGGTTAGACTGGAAACACGAATACCTAAATTAAAGTAGGTCATAATGCCTAAAAAACCCGACTTAATGTAATTTTCACTAAAGTAACTTAATAAAACATTATAATTATTGTTAAATATATAAATTCCAGTTTCTGTTACGTAAAAACTAACGTAAACAGGTTATCACGAGTATATAACACGACTTTCACTTGATTTATAACTTAGATATTTTAATTTTGATTAGAAAAAAAAATACTTTATATTGTTAATATAAAATTCAATTTAAGTTTATTTTAAGTTTTATATAATAAAAATTCTCGGTACTTCTAGAGAAGTTTTTATGTGCAAGCATTTGTAAGTAAAGAGTGGTGCGAAACGTGATAGGGTTTTCATTCGGATTAATTTCGATAA